AGTGAGAAATTTTTAAACTGAGTTTTGTCCCATTTTACGACTTTTCTTGCCACTTTTGTTAAGTGAATCACTGCAATTGTTAAATTAGTAACCCGATTGCTAAGTGAACCTGACTTCCCCATTGACTTTACTTGTCAGAAGGTTGCAAAAAGGGATCACATGACCCCGGAACACTGCAACTGTCATAAATGTGAATGGGTTGCCAAGCATCCAAATGTAAATCATGTGACCATGGGGATGCTGCAATGGTCATAAGTGTGAAAAAATGGTCATAACTCACTTTTTCAGTGCTGTTGTACCTTTGAATGGTCATTAAGTGAACTGTTGTAAGTCGAGGACTACCTGTATCAGTGTTTGTATGAAATCAGTTTTTTTCATTTATATGAACAAGTGGGTTGAACTATAAATGAATATAGAAAGAATTTTCTCTTTTGAGGGACAGGGAGCTGACATGTCAGCAGAGTCAAGTTAGGCATATTCTGAATTTTAACATGCTGGGCCCAAAAGGTTTGCCATCAGTGAGCTAGACTACCAGATCTGCGCTGCAAATATTTGCTTGACGTCTACAGTAGTAATTTAGACCTGATAGCTCTAGTTTACAGAAACCAGCTTCTATTAAATAGGCTCCCATACCTTGAGAGTCTATTTGTGTCTAATTTTTTCAATCAGTTAATAGGGAAAGCTGTCCTAAAGATAAAAGAAATACTGATTTGTAACTGACCCATAAGCGGAACTAAAATTCATTCTTCTGCACAGTATGTGTCACAATATTTGATGGTTTGTGTCGATGCTGACCAGATGCCTAAGCAGCGTATAACTACACGAGTTGTGCATATATATAATATAGCACAGGTGTTTTCTCTATGTTCAGTATCATCTCCTTCAAATCTATGTTATTTTATTTGTTTCCAATTGTTTCCAATTGAAAAATTCAGCCTTCTTTTAAAACTTAGTCGCGAATTATAACTAAGGTCATATTTTTTGTATTCCCTTTTATCTCTGATTTTTTAAAATTCCTAATCTATACATTTTAAACTGCAAGACTTTTTTGGCAGAAACTTATCTTTAACATTGTTAATGCTATGTACCATCTTTGCAAGGGCACACTGCATGAGCTCTATACGTTTGGATTTAAAAATAGAGAAGCCAAAATTTCTGGATTTGCAGAAGTTCAGCAAATGATGTATTTCCTTTCATAGCTACTGTTGCACAACACAAAATTACAAAATGGTTAAATTTACATTTACATGCCCTGAATGAACCCACATGCTTATTTCATCATCCAATGAACCCAGAACATGGGTTCACTTAAATATGGATACATGTGCCATGCAAGCATAGCAGATAGATAGATGATAGATAGATAGATAGNCGTGTTGATAAATATTCCTCTGAAAGACTGTTTGCCAAGCCTTGCTGACTGTGAATGAAAGGAATTCACAGTCGTGTAAATAAAAGAGGTTTTGCTGGGACCAAGACTCTGCTTCTTGCTTTTTAATGAAGCCTAGGTCAGAACAAAAGGTCACTAAACAAACTGTTGTAATTCAAGTACTACCTGTACCTAAAAATTGTCCAAGTCATCAAAATTAGCACTGGGGACCCAACAGCACATTCAGTGCTATTTCTACACTGTATTCTTCTTTTCAGATCCTGACATCCATTTCTCTAACCCGTTGTAGGCAGTCAGCAATCTAACGATTACAAGAAGAGCCAAATTCATATATGCAAACATGGGTGTAAATGGAGGGGAGAGGTTGCAAATGGTTCAACAAACCCAGATATGTTTGCTAAGGAGGTGGGAGAGCAAAATACTCACTGAAGTTGACCAAGTACTTCCACTCAGTACTAACCAGCTCTATCAACAACCCTGTAAGCTTGAGCCCACCAATTCATTAACACAAAGCTATTGACTAAGAACCAACCTTTTTCTTTCTGGCTTCTGCTATCCCCGAGGCAGGCCTTGGAGCTGCCCAAAGCCACCAGCCATTTCTGTCTTTCAGCAGCGCCTCCTGCCTTCAAGTAGAAGTACTGCTCACCTGGGATGACCAACTCCATACGAGTAGAATCAGTTGCATGCACTATAGGAAGGATGAGAGGAATAAAAGGTAAATAAAAGCGAACATACAATCATCAGTACCACCACCACCACCCACTCTGCCATGCACAGGGTCACACTTCTTATTATTATGTTGTATATGATTTCATAAGGGACGCGGTAGCTCAGTGGCTAAGGTGTTGAGCTTGTCAATCAAAAAGGTTGATAGTTCGGCAGTTCGAATCCCTAGTGCCGCATAATGGAGTGAGCTCCCGTTACTTCTCCCAGCTTCTGCCAACCTATCCGTTCGAAAGCATGTAAAAAATGCAAGTAGAAAAATAGGAACCATCTTTGGTGGGAAGATAACAGCGCTCCATGCCCCTTCGGCATTTAGTCATGCTGGCCACATGATCACGGAGATGTCTTCGGGCAGCGCTGGTTCTTTGGCTTTGAAATGGAGATGAGCACCGCCACTTAGAGTCGGGAACGACTATCACATATGTTCGAGGGGAACCTTTATCTTTACCTTATGATTTCATGGCCACCAATGGACATTACTTTGTATGAGATGAAGGCGTAAGAGGGGAAAATAAATCGATCTTTTTACCACTCAGAGATATTCTGGAGCTAAAGGAATATCATCTCCTCAATTATGTAATCTGCAGGAAGCACAAACCATAATACGGTAGCGAAGAACTCAACCAGAACGCCCCAGATGGAAAACATCAAACTCATAAAAAATTAGCCTAACTGAATGAAAACACCTTTAAAAGTACAGGTTTCGGAGCACTGCTTCAAGCTTCCGGAGCTAACAAGTCAGTTTTCTAAATGCAACCTTTGTGCTTTTGATAACAAGAGATAAAGTCTGCCTACTTCATTTACTGACATTTGCAGATCAAGCTCCTGTTCAATCGCAGTGGTAAGACAAGATTCCCCACCCCCCGTTTATTTGGCAAATGCACAAGCCTCCTACAGATTGTCCTTGATGTACTGTTGGAACTTAAGAAGGTGCTGAACACACTGAGTTATAAACCCTGCCTAAAGTTACAACTATTGAAGGGTTCCCACTTATCTTTCCTCTTCATCTCAGTCGCCCAACCAGCGTGCCAGAGATTGGTTGCCAATCTCTGCCACTCCCCTGCTTTATTTTGCTCACTGCCTACTTCCTCACCAATGCCCAACTATACCCAGAAGGTTCAGGCCTTTTCCCCACTCCACCATGCTTGCAACACCTGGGCCCATTGACTTTTGCCTTTTTGTCAGCTGCTGACAGGTGTGCCAAGCTGATGTGAGGTCCAACCAGACAGCCAGTGTATAATATGCAGTGTTTTTGAAGGCTAAATAGGGCTTCTGTCTACAGAAACATTGTGTTTTCTAGTTTCTCACTAGAACACTAGAAAATGCAATGTTTCCTTTAGAAGCATTGTGTTCTCTAGCTGTCTCTAGCCAGAAAGATAACAGACTTGGTATTTCTGAAAAGTCAAAAGTCTAGCACAGAGAGGGGAGGGAAATTTCTGTGGCAGATCAGAAAAAGGAAGTTTGGTTCCCCAAAATCCATGTTTACTTTCTCTAGCCCAGCACAGCAGTTCCCTTCTGCACATTGGGGAGTGGGGGGGAGAGGGAGAGAGGGAGGGAGGGAGGGAGGGAGGGAGGGAGGGAGGGAGAGAGAGAGAGGTGGGGGAGAGAGATGCCCTTGAGTTACTGTAGTATAATGTGATATTGGGAGAGGAAGAGAGAGGGAGCGCTGTGGTGGTCTGGAGAAATGAAACTTGGATCTTCGGGATCCAAACTTCATTTCTCTGGCCCATCACAGGAGTTCCCTTCCATGCAGAAAGGGAAGATCTTTCGTTCCATCCATTTAATGACCACATCTGGGAAAGCTGGGATTGTGGTCATTGAGTGAAACAGTCATGTAGCTATCTCGCTTAATGACTCCCAACAACTTACAAACATAATTCCAGGCCCAAATGTGGTTATAAAGCTCAGGCTACCTGTGGGTCAATACTTAAAAGAACAGACGAGAGGCATGGATGGCAGCATCATGTAAGTTCTACAACGTATATTACAAGTCCCAGGGGATCCAAGTCAATTCTGCAGAATCCGGGCTCTGCAGCATGCAATGAATCACTGTAACCTACATTATTGTCAGTAGACTACCAATTCACTGTTTGAAGGCTGAAAAGCAACAAGGCTGATGGGCCATATCTGGAGTCCGTAGATATTAACAGTATATAATTTGGGCTCCAAGAGAGCTAGCTTTATGCAGTGGTTTAAGATATCATGCCCTACTGTGTTTCCTCGAAAATAAGACAGGGTCCTATTTTCTTTTGACACCCCCCCGGAAATAAGCACTTGGCCTTATTTTCGGGGAGGTCTTATTATTTTTGAGGTGTAGCAGACAGCAAACATGGCCACCTAACGGCTGCTGCTGTGTTGCAATATTTTCGGGGGAGAGCTTATTTTGGCACATGCGTTCAAAAGCCCCGATTGATTATTATCTGGGGAGGTTTTATTTTCAGGGAAACAGGGTAGAAGACTGTGAATACTAGTCGTGTCTTAGGTACAAAACCAGTAAGGTGACCTGTGCCAATCATTTCCTCTCAGGCCCAGAAAGAAGGCAAGGGCAAACCAATTCCAAAAATGTTTCCAAGAAAGCTGCAAGAACTTGCCAAGGCAAAGGCTAATTCAATCAAGGCTAATTCAAAAGCACAAAAATTAGTATTTTTTTAAAAAAAAATCTAGGCTTCACGGAACGGTTGCGTAAGAAAGTAACTAATGAAGAAAGTAAGAAACCACATGCCTTTAAAGGAAGAGCACCCAATAGCCGCAAAATAAAGAAAGCAACAAAGTGAAGCTCCTGCAGTTCTTAGCAGAAAATAGATAATGCACAACACCGAATGGAGCGAAGTTTGGGAAAGAGAAATTACATTTTTTCTAAGTACTGAAACTGCCTACCTTTGATTTCACATACAGCCATCTTGATGCTGCCTTTGCTGCCTTTGCCCACATCATCCTGAGAGTCATAATAGGAGAGGATGCCGTTTTCTAATACAAAGTATCGTGGCTGCCAACCTGAGGCCAAAGGGGGAAAAAAAGAGGGCAAATTGGACCTTGTAGAGAGTTTGCAGTGGGGGGGGGAGTGAGGGAAACCAACTAAGCTTCCCCATATGTTTGGAATTAGATTAACTTCCCAGGAATTTCTAAACTAAATTGATTAGGGTGGGCAACATGGTCCTTGTGGTACTATTCTTAATTTATGCCAAGCTCCTTGCCTCTCCATATTGATTGTTTTAAAATATTATTTATAATTAAATTAGAAGCAATCATGCTGTTGAGGGCTGCTCATTCATAAACCACCAAGTACAAACCTCAACTGACAAATAATATTTGTCACTCTCTCTAGTTTAAAGGTACTTGGATTTTGGCCCAAGGCTTGGTCTAACAGACAAAACCCACAGCAGATTCACCCCATAAATAGCTTCAATTCCACTCCATCCAGGAAAGAATCAGTAATACAGAAAAGTCAAGTGTTCAATTCAGGAAATCTCTGTGAGTTAGTGCACAATTTATTTACAGTTTGGAATAACCTCCAGGAGGAATCTTGCCTATTCCAGATTACTGTGACTTTAGCACCAGGCAAATACATTTCTCTTTTCCTTAGTATTCTAGGATTTTGAGCCCAGCATTTAAACCCAGATTATAGAAAATAATTCTAATTCCTTGCATGAGGCGACAGTATTACTATATTTTAGGTTCTATTCCCCATGCAGTCTCTTTGGGACATTATTCTATTTTTCTATTGGATCAGATGGGGTGTTTATTCTTTTATATAATCCACCCAAGAGAAAGTTTATTGCTCAGTAGTTATAAATAAAAAGGTGATCAATTCCTCTCCCCTCATATTTTACTTTATTTATTTATATCCCATGTTTCCTCCAACAGCTCATGGTGGCTTTATCTCCATCTATGCAATAAGCTGCCAGAGAGTATATGCCCAGCTCAATCCCCCAGTGAGTTTTCAGGGCTGAGGGCAAACACAGATTTGGGATTTGCTAGTTGTCATCCTTCAATTACATTGTATTGGCTTATGAAGATGGCTACTCTGGGAACCAAGTGCTTACTTACTCTGCATTAAAAGGGATGTCCATAGCAAGCTTTTATATACTGTATACATTCCAAGAATAAAGAAAATGGACTTCATTGGCCATAAATATTTTGTTCTTTAAGAAAAAAAAAGGTACATATATACTGCCACGAAGATTAGAGCTATCAATAGTGACTATTTATTATAAAGGGCAGTTCTTTATTTCAGAAAGCTGCACTTTAAATCTACTTACTTTTAATTAAACAATTGCTATCCAATTAGAATTTGTTAATTAATTAATAATTAAATCTACTTTGGGGAGGTAAGGGTTTTGAATTTAACCTTTGCAAAGCAATGTTATAATCATAGACAATTATTATTGTTTATCTTTATGAACCTCTTCCAGATTTGCCCCCCACCTACACACACACACTGTGGGCTTGTGCTTTATGTCTTTCAAGAAAATTACAGTCACTCTTTCACAAGCTGCAGCGTTTCACATCAACAGGCCACCTGGCAACGGCCGAAGTTTATTCTTTCCCTGCGTTTCCAAGCTGGAGAAGCCGCTTTCATTTCTTCCAGTCGCGCAGCGCTCTAAAACAGTTCTTTGACCATTGAAATATTGGTGGATCAACCCTCCTGACCCGGGAAGTAGAGGCAGGGTTCCCTTGCAAAAGGGATTCGTTGCATTTCGGGGGGGGGGGGGAATCAGAAAGGGCGAGACCCTGAGAATCGGACTACCGTCTGCGGTGAACAAAGATGGGAGGAAGCCTGGGTTTGCTGGGTGCTCTTCCTATTTTCTCCAAGGGCTGCGGGGAGAAGGATGCAGGCGGGCGGGGAGCCGAGGAACTCGCATCCGACCTCCCCCGTTAGTCGCTACCTCGAAGACAGGCCTGATGCAACACACTCCCCACTCACCTGAAAGATAGTTGGTCCATTTCAACAGCGCTCCCTCCATCACCAGCGCAAGCTCAGCGCCGGTCTGCCACGCCGATCCAATTGCGGCCCTGCGCCGGCCAGGCTCAGCCAATCATGGGGCATGTGTCGGTCGGAATGGGGGCGGGGCGGGGNCCTGGGGAAGGTTACTGCAAAATCCCCATTCCCTCCCCGTCCCACCAACCTGATTTCCAGCTCTATTCTCCTTTGCAGGGCAACAAAAGAAGACCCAGCCTATCAGCTGGGACTCGATCAGCTGGGACTCGGGAGGTAGTGAATAGTAGGGGGTAGGGCTAGCCAGAGATGGTATTTGCTGGTTCTCCAAACTACTAAAAATTTCCACTACCGATTCGCCAGGACAGTCAGAACCAGCTGAATAACACTTCTGGATCTCTGTCCGAGAATTATTTTGAACAGCCCCACTAAATATGTACATAGGAGAATCCCTCTGTTATATCCCTGTAAAACTATTGCCTTGATTACACAGGAAATCACTCTGAACTCTTTCTTAATAACATATATAGAAGATGCAAATAGATCCTACAAACAAATCTTACAATGAAATTGCTCTTCAGTGGTATGTAGTTGAGTTTTTTTCCCCTCATTAGAACCAACTCCCAATAACTTCCAGTTCTATAGCCTGATGCGTTCTGGACAAAGATGTTGCAAGTAAAACTGTGTTTGTTTCCAAACTGTTGTGTTATTTTAAGTAAGGGGCTAATCTTAAAGCAAAAACATTGGCTTGGCTGCCATCGGTATTCTAAAGCAGAACATTGTGTTTGTTTATATGTGTTAATGTTTGAAAGAGGCTCTCCGATTTCATGCTACAAATTGGCAAATAAAAAGTTTTAAGACTTCCTTTTTCCCATAAAGGCAGATTGATGTTGAAAGGCATCATGCCAGCTTTTATATTGCTCTGGTGCCACCATCGTGAGTCACAGGAAGCAATCCAACAGGATGCTAAACCAATATTAGTTGGAAATTATCCCTTGGTCAATCGTACTGCTCGACTTCAAACAGCCCACAGGGCAAAGACTCTTAATTAATTTTCCATAATTAAGACATTTAAAAGTGTTCTACTTCCATATCTGTTTGTGTAACTTATAGCAAGCAAAGCCTTGGGGCGGAAGGCAGAAGATTAATTCCAACTGGTCTCCAATTAATTTGCAGCTTCAAAAACAAAAATGTTAAGCAAAGGGTCATGCACAGGGTAAAATTGCACAGCACACACAAGGACCTTCCCTATCATTTAGTCTTCCCCCCACCCCCACTGAACACCCATCAGTATGTTTTGTTTTCCTACTGCATATTGATCCTGACATTAGCAGGGACAAAATGGCACTACTTTGTGATCTTTGGCTTATTAATGCATGCTTTCAACTGACTATACAGCAATAAGATCTTTTAGCAATTTACAAGAATGCATAAAATCAACATTAACTATCTGTTTAAAAGGCATCTGTTTTGAGGCTCTTTAAGGCCCCCCCTAAAAGAGGTTAGGTTCTTTAACTTACCAAGAACCAGAGGTGGGTTGCCAATTTTTTTACTACTGGTTTGGGTGCGCTCCCGTGCATCTCCCATGCACACGACATTTCTGGGCATGCGCAGAAGACTCTGGGCAGGTGGGTGGAGCCTCCCGCCGCCGCTAGTACTGGTTCGGCCAATCTGGGCTGAACCGGCAACAACCCACTTCTGCCAATAACTGAGTAGCTAGACAAATCCTTCAAATCACAGCTTGCATATTTGTGTTTTAAGATGACGGGTAAAGAGACTGGCAATTTCTTTAGGGTTTTTCATTTTAATAGAATAGAATTCTTTATTGGCCAAGTGTGATTGGACACACAAGGAATTTGTCTTCGATGCATAAGCTCTCTCTGTATGTAAGTGATAAATCATGATCATAGTTATCATGAATCATATGATACAACACTTAGTGATAGTCATAGGATACTAAATAAGCAATCAAAATCATACTTGGAAACTAAATAAAACAATATAAATCGTAAAAATACAGGAAGCAACAAGCTTATAGTCATAAGTCAAAAGGAGATAGGTAAGAAGAATGATGAGAAGAAGAATAGTAATACAGTCTTAGTAAATACGTAGCTTGACAGTGTTGTGGGAATTAGTTGTTTAGCAGAGTGATGGCATGCGGGGAAAAATCCTCTATAACAGGGGTGTCAAACTCAAGGCCTGGGGGCTAGATCCAGACCATGTGGTGCGTACATCTGGCCCAGAGGTGGGTTCCTACCAGTTTGCACCAGTTCGGTAGAACTGGTTCATCAATNCCCCCCCCCAGCCCCCAGGAGCACTTTATAAGCCTTATAAAGTCTATGCATGCCCTTTTTTGACAAAAAAATGAGCCTACTGTGGCTGGCTAGTCTGGGACACCAACTCTCAGCTTTCCAATGGCCTGTGTGGTGCATCCAAATTGCCTGCCTCCCCCCACCCCCGCCTCTGTTGTTTAGACAGGCAATCAACTCATCTGTACTGCCAGGCTGTGGCTACTGCTGGACACCGTTGGCCCCCGCACCCTCACCACCTCTGATGCTGGCCACACCCACTCTCCCATACTGATGATCTTCATTAGGGGCTATTTTGGGGGCAGGGCTTATATTATGTGCACCCTTAAAAATCAGGCTAGGGCTTATTTTCAGGGTAGGTCTTGTTTTGGGGAAAACACACTTTCCTCTTAAAGGAGTATTAATTATGTTCATCACGTTAAGTCATTTATAAGAACAACAAAGGTGGGATTAAAAATAAATAATTCTGAGCTGGTTGCCAAACTCACAAGGATGTGACTATGGGGGTGGGTGAAACTTTGAGGAATGGTCAAAAGTCTCCTTTTTCCAGCACTATCGTAAGTTTGAATCCTTGCTGAATGGTCAGTAAGTAAGGATTACTTGTGCCTCAACCCTAGAAGCTCGTGCTCCATTCTGTCCTTCCGCTTTCTAATAGGTACCCTTTCCATTTTTGACCAAGCTGTGTGACGCATGTTTTCCCCCACACAGACACACACAAACACACAGTTCTGCAAAGATTAGCTTCCACTTCCTTTACTTTTTTTATGGTGCATGATAGGAATATTGCTATTTCCTAGAGACTATCAATTCTTTCATTGTAGAAAGTTACCGAAGACCTACAAAGGAAGGTAAGGATGAAAGGACCACCTGTTCCTATAGCTTTGATGATTGTAGCATCGGAGTTATGAGGGTATTATAAGAAGGGGGAAAAAGGGAAGATGGCATGGCAGTGACAAAGGAGGTAATGCGAGAAGGCTGGGAATGAATAATCCTTTTTTATATATATAAGTCAGGTGCTGCTAGATCAGTCCACCCAGACGTCACCCATTGAGACTTGCTTTCTCAGCAGGCAAGAGGTGGAGGGATGACCAGTCATGTCTTATGGTGGCTGTAATCCAGGCTTAACATCAGCCTGTCCAGATTGTTAATGTACTTCAATCTGGAATGGAATCTCTGAAGTTGGCTTAAGAAACAGCTGACAGCAACATAAGAGACCAGCAGCTTAGAGTGCAGTGTAGAATTCTCATTACTTTTACAACAAAGTAAGCTGCATCAAGAACCCGGAGGAACTATTTTTAGAATGGCAAGTACAAATCCCAGAATCATGCGGGAAAGCTGAGTCAGTAATAAGGAAAGAGTCAATAAAAAATACTCCTTCCACCCAGAATTAGCTCTGGAACTGATTAACCCAAATGTGTCATTTCTTTAGGAGAGCTGGGTCAACTTACTTCATCCTTGGGTTCTTAGAAATTGCAACTTAGCTGGCATTTCCCTTTGATTTGTTGTGTGGTTCCTATAAGCAGATGTCTTGTCTTCTTAACTTACTAGCTCATAAGACCGGGTTCTATGCCTCATCTAAAATGTTGGCCTGCAAAATGGATTTGTGGATATGTAGTTCTATCATTTGAGAACAAGCTATTGTCATTTGAAGTTTCCTGAATAAGACTGGTGCATGTATAAATGAGCTATTCTCCAAAGGATCAGAAGGCAGGATAAGAAGCAATGGGTGGAAACTAATCAAGGAGAGAAGCAACCTAGAACTAAGGAGAAATGTCCTGACTGTTAGAACAATTAATCAGTAGAACAACCTGCCTCCATGGGAATGTTCCAACACTGGGAGTTTTTAAGAATAGATTGGGCAACCATTTGTCTGAAATGGTATAGGGTTTCTTGGTTTAGTAGTGAGTTGTGAGTAGAAGACCTCCAAGGTCTCTTCCAGATCTGTTATTCTGTTCTGTTTGAGTCATTAGATATTAGGAGTCTGCAAAATGTTTTGGAGAAATGTCCCAAAGATGCTTTTCAGAAGGCAAGTGGATTTAGTTTTTTCCCCTGAAAACAATTAGCTTTTGATCCAAGAAGATTCTTCAGTTCTGACTGACTGCTGGGCAGTAGAAGGATATATATATGTGTGTGTGTGTTTTATTTGTGCTGATAAATAAATAAAGGGAGACTAGTATAGATCTATTTCAAGCTATTTAGCTCTCATCAGCT